AATTCTTGTCCAAAGTTTCAAAATTATATTTTTATCTTAAATATTGAAATTGATTGAACATCGATATTTGAATTTAAGAAAATTTCCCGAATACTCATAACGGTACGGATTGACCCATATAGTTCTTGATTAGAGTTTGGAAACGGGATTTTGGTTTAAATCAGATTCCGAATCCACTGAATCTGCAATTCTCACACTATCTGTACAAATGCATAGAGAACAAAAGTATTCGAACACCTATAAACTTTTTATAACGATAAAATGAATGTACGTACGTACGTACGTATATCAGATATGTATGTACGTATATACAATGATGCTATTGACAATAAAGTAATTGTTGAAATAAATTCGGATTTCAATTTAACAATTCGAATTTAAATTCGAAGCTGAATATAAATAAATTCGGATTCAAAAATGAAATCTGGTTGCAAACAGGGCTGAAACGACATGTAGCAAATGCCGGCCATTCAAAGTGCTGTTCTTGATGCATAATTATTGCGATCGAAGAAGAATAGCGATAGTAAAATAAGAAAATTCTATTATATACTATTTAATGTTATATTATTTTTGTTAATAAATTACTTTTAATTTAGATAGATCAAAAATGACATTTTGGATCCCGGCCGGCATTTACTATATGTCGTTTCAGACCTGGTTCTAACCTTTATTATTCCAATGCATCAAAAAAGACATTTGAAAACAATAGACTGCATGGCCGTTGGTATTTTATGCGAAGTGATGGTAGATCACGTGATCGAAAAGAAGAAGCAGCCACACGACTTCGCTCCCATAATGCCATCAAAAATAAGACCAAAGCATGTGAGAATCAGTAGATGGCTAGATGAAGAGGTGCGGCGTACGAAGGTCAAAGATTAATATGGTTAATCAAAGACTAGTATGGTTAGCAACAATGAAATACGCATGGAATAAAAAACCAAGTAAAAATGGATAGAAACTAGATACAACGAAGTCAGGCTTGAACAGAAAATTCGCGCGACCCACCTAACCCACCCTGAAATGGAGAAGACACATGATTCTATCATTTCTTCAATTGCATTTCTTCACCTGCATTCTTCACTCACAGCCGGCAGGCGGGAAACAACCGGCTGCAATGATCCTACGGCGACTCCCAGCGCAATTACGATTGCTTTTCTCGGGATGTCATTGCCGTTCTTGCCATCAATCACTTCTCTCATACTTCTGACAACTTTAATAAAAAATAACCTCCGGCCTAATCAATAAATGCAATGTTGTGTAATGCGAATGTTTTTCGTGCCCTGTTAGAGTGTCCAGGGTATTGCGGTGCATAATTCTAAAAATAAATTTTTATATTGTTCTCATATAAGAGGCATGTGATTTAAATCATTTTTAAAATCAATTACAATGTAAAAACTATTTTTAGCGTGAGCAGAATTATGCACCGCAGTACCCTGGACACTCTACCCTGTATGAAGTCAAAAGCATTTGACTGCCTGTGTGTCGTAATGATAATTAATGTGATAGAAACCAACCCAAGTTAATTTTGGATTCGAGAAATCCACTTACAAATCCACAAAATTCCAAACATACCTACAACATACGTACGTACGTATATGCTGCTATTTATGAACACAAAGAATCAATCCTTGATTTATTAGATAATAAAATCTATTTAATAACGTCTTACCCGAAGGACGTTTTTCGTAAAATATCTTGCGCGGTATCGCAGACTACTTAACAATAAAGGGTGTCTGCACAATCAAGGAGTATTTTATTTTATCATTAGTTTGAATCCTTACTTTATAATTAATGAAATGGACTATTCCATATAAGCCTATCGTTATAATTTATATTATGAAATAATTAGTAATCAATTACTCATTAGAAAAAATAACTTTTCTTTTTCTAGAAATAGTCGTATTATTAAATTTCAGTTGATACATATCTCATTATACACTTCCGCACTTGTGTTCTTTTCTCATTGCACTCATTTATCATACAGTAACTCTTTATAGGATTGAACAATATGGATTCTGAAGAAAACGGAATGTCGAGTTCGACCAATTCTGATCCAACCAAGTCGATTAGGTCTTCTGCGAACAATAATAATAACAGCCAAGAAGATCAACGAACTTCTGCACAAGAAAATAAAATTTTAAAGAACGATGATAATTCAACTTGCATGACGAACAAGAAAAGAACGTTCGGTAACGATAGCATTTTAGAGGAAACAAACTCTGAGCCCCATGCTTCATCACATGATTTTGATGCACCGGTTTCAAAGAAAATTAACACTCAGACTTATTCAGCCGCAAATAAAAATGTCTCATCACCTCAATTGTCATCATTTTCTTTTAAACCAAGTAATAGAAAGGAACGTAAAATTTATAAAATCATGCATAAAAAAAATACTTCCGATAATTCAAAATTTCAACATGATCCATTAGCAGATGCATCATATTCATCACAAAAAGCTTCTATTGTGAAATCTAAACAAAACCATTCTAGCCCGTCTAAAGCAACCCGTGGAAGGAAAAAAAAATCGGCGCAAGATACTGTTTTGTTAAAAAATACCAATCCACCATCAAGCTCAGATGGTTTATTTTCTGATATTCGAATCTTTTTTATTCCAAACAATATTGATAGAGTTCGTTTGAGATTGTTGAAACAAAAGGTAGAAGAAGGGGGTGGACAAGTCGTTAACAATAAATTCGATGCATCTGTAACTCATGTAATTACTGCTTTGGAAGGTCGAATGGTTTTGGAAATTTTGGGAATTAACGATATTCCTCAGGTATTTAATGAAATGATAAGTTCCCCTTAATTAATCCTATTACTGTATTTTATCGTATTTTTCCACAATTCATTGTAATACAGGGTGTATTTATAGTCGAACCAAATTGGATATCACAATGTTTAATGGTAAGCAAAGGATAACTTGTTACATTTCGATTCTTGCATATCTTAATTTCACATTATCATTAAATTAGAATGGAAAACTCATGGATGTAAGGCCATACATTGTACAAACATGTGATATACTAAACACCCAGTCGTTGAAACAAAGCGATAAAAGAATTCATAACTATTTAACTGATGACAATAGTGAAAATGAAAGGTGCATTTTGATTCTAAGAAATTGTTTTTAATGTGTAAAATTCCAGTATCGAACTTTTATCTGTTTCAATGATTATTTTCCAAAGAAATAATCGTTTAAAAAAGAAACGGAGGCAAGACTCCTTGTCACCAAAAATGCGTTCGTCTTCTCCATCTTCCATTTTACCAAAAGCCAATGAATCAAAGATACATAGTGACGATCCTTTATTAGAAATAATCAAGGAGACCAAGTGCCTTGCAGAAGCGGTAAGTTTTTTGCGCTTTAATTAACACAATCTTTATATATTCAAGGGTATAATTTTCGTAATTTAAAGGGTTTTACATTGGATGATGATAACGATGACGATGATGAGTCTCGTAGCATTCAAGACAGCAAAATGTCTGATCCAGAAGATGAAATCATTGTGTCATCAATGCAAGTCGAAGAAAACAATCCAAATCAATTGATAATTGATAAGGTTTGTGGCAATAAAATAAAATGAAAAAAAATAAATATTTAGGGACATTATTATCTTGAGCTCATATTAAACATTTTTCATTACAAATTATAGCTCCAAGTGTTATTGAATCATTATCAACGAATGAGAGATGAATGGCGGACTTTAAGTTACCGAAAAGCAATCTCCGAGATAAAAAACCAAAAAGAACCAATCACCTCTTACAAAGAAGCCATAAAAATTCCTGGCATAGGACATCGGATCGCTGAAAAAGTCTGTTTTTTTTTTTTTTTTTTTCTTTGAATTTTGTTTATGGAAATTAATCTTCCTTTTTATATTACAGATCGCAGAAATTATCAATACTGGAAATTTAAAACGGTTACAACATTTTTCAGAAGGCGACGAAATAATTAAAAAATTCAGTGATATTTATGGTTGTTTTCATTATCTATTATTATCTATTTCTTTATTTATTATTATTATTTTACCAAAAATTTTTTTGTGTACTTCTAATCCATTGTTAATAAAATAGGTGTAGGCGCATCTACTGCTATGAAATGGTATGCAAAAGGTTACAGAACTTTTGACGATATTATTAAAAATGTTAAATTAACACACGCCCAACGTATTGGAATTGAATACTTTGATGTAAGTTTAAAATCATTAGATTAATATGTATCTAAAATTAAATACATATACTAATTAGTTCCTAAAGGATCTTCAAGAAAGAATTCCAAGAGATGAAGTAACTGAAATCTCAAAACGCGTAAAAGAAGCGGCTAGTAAGATCGATCCTGATTTATTATGTATCACTGTTGGATCTTATATAAGAGGTCAACCTACCTGCGGGGACATTGACATTTTAATAACTAAAAATGGTTTGGATGGAAAGAAAGATTATGGTAAAATTTGATTTACTCAATATATTATATATCATTATAAAGAATATAAGCTTATATATATATATATATATATATTTTATAGATTCTTTTTCAAAATTGCTCAATATTTTACATAAACAAGGACTATTAACACATGATCTCACACAACGTGAAGAAACTTCATCAAAGTATTTTGGTTTGTGTAGGTTGCCTGGTGGAAAACATCGTCGGATAGGTAGGCAGAAAAAAAAATTTATAATTTTATATTTTGTGACTTTTAATTTAAACTAATTAATATTGATGTCTTTTCAATTTCTAGACATGTTCATTGTTCCATTTAATGAATTAGGTGCTGCATTACTATCTTTTACAGGTAACGATATATTTAATCGAAGTGTAAGGTTACTCGCGAAGAAAAAGGTAACTATTCCAAATTAAAGAAGTATTGAAATGCGATGTTTGAAAAAAAAAAATTATAAAACATAATAAATTTTTATGTACATATAGAAAATGAATCTAAACCATCATGGTTTATATAAAAATGTTTCTCGAGGCCATAATACATGTTTGAATAAAGGAATTTTGATTGCTCAAAGAACAGAAAAAGACATATTTGATGCTTTGGGAGTTCCATGGCGGTAAATGTATAAACATTACATTAAAAATTTTTTTTTTTGTTTAAATTTCAATATATATATATATATATATTGCTTTATAGTCCACCGAGCGAAAGAAATTATTAAAAGTTTGATGAATTGACTCAATACACTATCATCAAGAACAAACATGGTTTATTCTGATTAAAGGAGATTAGAGAACAACTCCTTGAAGGTTCTACATTTCACTTAAAAAAAGCAAGACGAAAACCTATAATTTCGTCGTACATTAACGACTTAGACATTGGACAAAATTAGATAGTTATAAAGCTTTTTCAAGTGTTAAGCAGGCTGATTCGCTTTTCCTCTTTTTGTTATTATACCGAAGATTGTAAAAAAAAAAAAAAAAAAAATCTATATGCCATAATAAATAGCATTTTTTTGGTTATAGTTAACTAAAAAAAAAATCGGCATATTGGAAATACGTCAATAATAAAGGGTCATTTTATTGATTAGCACTAGCTTCCAGACTGTACGAATTTTTTTATACCGAATCACAGAATTTGATCACTAATTACTATTGTTATTATAGATTTTACTGTGAATCGTGTAAAAGATCAAGTAGCAAAATCAGTCCTGATATTAAGTTCTGTCGCGCAGACTTTTAAACTAGATCTTTGTACGAAAAAGTCCGAGAACCTAAGTTAGGCAAGACTTGACTTAGAACCAAGCCCCATATAATCAATCTATTAACGCTAACACAAGGTGCGCATACTCTTCATTGGCTCGAATTATATACAGACTATAGTCACCTATATAATCACATCATAGTAAAACCCTTCTTATAATCACGCCAAAGTTTGCAATAAACTAAGCACATCAAAGTAAAAATCTTTATATAATACGTCACTAGTTACGATTCAATTGCATTTTATTTTATAAACCGATTTTTTATATAGGACAAACTAGGTGATGTCACTAGCTCTCAGGCCCAGGCGATGCTCCGGGGAGGCAAGGTTTTAAATTTTTATATTGTTTGGATTCAAACGAACCCGATTTGGGGTCAATTGAACCCGGTTTGGTTCAATTGAACCCGGCTTGGGTTCAAATGAACCCGGCTTGGGTTCACTTGAACCCGACTTGGTTCAAATGAACCCGATTTGGGTTCACTTGAACCCGGATCTGGTTCACTTGAACCCAGGTTGGGTTCAAATGAACCTGTATTTGGTTCACTTGAACCCGGGATTGGGTTCAAATGAACCCGGATTTGGTTCACTTGAACCCGGGATTGGGTTCAATTGAGCCCAGTTTACTTGAATTTTTTTTTTTTTAGTAAATGTTATATTGGAAATTTTATTTAATAAAATAGAAAAGAATTTTATATTTAAAGATTTCAAGACTACATTTGTGCTACTATAAAAGGCATTCAATGTGACATTATACCTCCTAATTTTTATATAATGCAATTAATTATTACAATTAAATGGTTTGCTAGAGTAGGTTAGATAAAACTTAAAATTTTTTTAATTTTTGTTAATTTTTTAAAAATTTTTTATTTTTATTATTTAAATTTTTTTTATATTACTTTACAGAATTTTTAATTTTTTTTTAACTAACCTTTTTGGAGTTAAGGTTTTTATTCAAGTCAGTTGGGTGAAGAGGCTCATAACAAAACCTATCTATTATATTAGAAAGTACAACTAACCATATATACAACTTTTGGTTGTCTATTTAAGTAGTCTGCATATTAGTATTACATCATAGGGACTACATTATTTGCCATACTTATAACCCACTAGGGGATTATCTATTTAAAACATTCTATAATGCAACCTACTTGTATTACTAATATATCATTATTATATTTGTCAATCAAGAAGTTTTAGATATTTTTTCTATTTCTTTAGGACTAATATATCTTCAAGACATTATTGTTAGAGCTTTTTATACTTATAATTCAGCTAACTTAGACTTCGGTAACTTATGTTAAGTCTGAGGACAAGTACTTGCAAGCCAAAGCTACTACTATTACCTACTTCTGGTTTTGTAAAATTTATTCAAATTTTAGCATCCACTATACAAACTATTCACCATTCTTCTGGTTTCTTCAAACTCTCAATCCAAATAGTCTGAAAGGATGATCTCTTTCTTTAGTCACCTAGTAATCTAGTTGGTATAGTGTTTTTGCCAAATATCTGAATTCTATTTGGTTTTTTAGTTCTTTGGTTAATAATCCTTTATATAGTACTATTAAAAGTTTGTATTATCTTTTTACTTAGGATTTGCTAAGCAAGTTTCTGTATGCCTAGCTTTTAAATTTATCTGACTGCTTTATTTGGGTTTTGTTTAACTTATGTATTATACTAATATTCCACAGTCTTCTAGTACAAGCCAAAACAACCAAAGCTACATATCTATCGATCTATCAGATTATACATAATTTGTTATTACACATTTTGCAAAATTCGAATTTTATTGCTAGTAAGATTTGAACTCTTGTCTGCTACTTGAAGTACAACAACTTATCAAGTTGTCATACTTTTAGAATTTTTAATTTTTTAAAAATATGATTACAATAAAGTTAATATATTGTATATATAATAATTATAATATATATATATTTTTCTATAAATTAGCTTCTTTGAAGTTAAGGCTTTATTCAAGTATTGTTAAGTGGATAGCTTGTAGCTATTAGTATTAAGAGAATTTCTTACATTAGAAAGTATATACTAGTCATATATATATCTAATTTGAATAATCTGTCTATAATTTTTATATTATAAATTTTATATTAAATGCTATATCTGTAATTCAACTATAAGTGCTATTTATTTAAACCTTCTGTAATGCAACTCTATTTGTATTACTAGTATATCTTCACTATATTTGTTAATTAAAAAGTTCTTGATTCTTAATCTATTTTCTATAGAATTACTTTATTCTCAAGATATTATTGTTAAAGCTTTTCATATTTACAATTTGGCTAATCTTAACTTTTGATAACTTATACTGAATCTAAAGACTAGTATTTGTAACTTTTTGCCTCTACTATTATTATTTATCTCTGCTTTTATAAAGTTTATTCAAATCTTAATATACATTTTATAGACTATCAATTATACTTTTAGCTGCTATAAACTTCTAATCCAGATAGTTTAAAAGGGCTGTAATCTGCTTTTGATCTTTATAGTTAGGTCTTTTTTCTTTAATTATTCTTTTGATAGCCTGATTAAAAGTGTTTTGCTAAAGTGTGGTGACTTAGTAAAGTTGGTAAGTTGTCATACCCCAAGCAGCAAGACAAGAGTTTGAATTATACTAATAACAAAATTCGAATTTTACAGAATATATTACGGTGTACTTTATAATATTTTGAGTGGTGGTAGCATCTGTAATCTTGGTCGTACCAGCTTGTTCTAGAAGGCTGTGTAATGTATGAGTTATGCAATCATGTAAATCCAGGGCTCGGGCCTACAGCATATGGAAGCCCACTTGGTAAGTCCTGAGTAGAGAGATAGCACAGATCTTCAACAGCACTATATAAAGGATGATCATCGGCAATTGGACATCAACAGTAAAACTGGACAAGGACTGAGTGTTTGGCAAGACACTAATACCAATCAGGCCATGAGTATATAGGGATATGCCTTGTATAAATGAGGAAAAAGGATTCAATCAGAATACCAAAAGAATATCTACTAGTCTCTTCGGGCTATTTGGATTGGAAGTTTGGGCATTGTTAGTGAAAAAAAGTCAGTGATAGTCTGTAAAGTGTATACTGGGGTTTGGGTAAACTCTGCAAGAGCAGAAGTAGGTAGCAGTAGCGGCTTTAGCTCACAAGTACTTGTTCTTAGACTCAGTATAAGTTACTGAAGTCTAGGTTAGCTGGATTGTAGGTAAGGAAAGCTCTAGCTAATGATCCCTCAAGGATAAATACGTTCTAAGGATATAGAGAAAACATCCAGAACTTCTTACAACAGATAATTGTAGTAGAGAGGTGGTAAACAAGCTGAGTTGCATTTGTATAAATGTACGAGGTTCTATAAGCAAGCCTCTCACCTATAAATTTGAATAAAAACTTTAGTCGCAAAGAGGCTAGTTTTAAAACTTAAAAAAAAAAACAAAGTGACTTGCCAAATACTTTAGTCTTATTTAGTTTTTCTAATCCTCTAAATAATAATTTTTTATATAGTACTATTAAAAATCTGTATTACTTCTTTATTTAGATTTTGTTAAGTGGGTTCCTATATTCTAATTTACTAGTTTACTTAGCAGTTTTATTTGAATTTTGTATAATTTATATATTATATTATTATTCTACTATCTTCTAGTATAAATTGGTGTGATCCTGTTACTAATACTTTTTTTTTATAATTTGGCTATCCTGCCACTTTTTATTGAGATTAAACTATACTAAGAAATTTATATTCCATAATAATAGCTATAACTAATCCATCTGTAAAGTGACATACCCACACTTTCGTCAGGTATGACTTGCCTCAGTAGACTTCAAGCCTCTCTTCAGGCCAATAACTTACTAGAGGTTATCCTTTGGTCATAGGCTGGTACCACACACCATATTAAAGTTAGCTTTCTTTCTTCCAAAATAAAATATAAACACAAATGTAAAGGGCAAAATAAAAATGGAGAAATACTACAGCATCAAGTTCTGGTCCACCTAAATCAATAAAACCAAATAAAACAAATAACGAAAAAAAGAAAACAAAGAAAAGAAACAAAGATAGCACTATTAAACCCATGC